GACTGACGCGAGAGGTACTAGCAGTAGGCTCAACATTTTGTTGTCCAAAGTCAAAACAAAAGCAGCTTTATTTAAAAGTACAATTTGATAACCTTTACACCCAAGTTGCTGAGCTTGTACCTACTAGTGGACAGCGCGGAAAAATTCAAGATGACGCTGCCAGTTCTTTAAAATGTTATGGAGGCTATCATTGCTGACGCACTCACCTATCTGGACAGCTTTGGTTACGTTGCTCAGCAGCAACGGCTTCCGCCAAAATCGGTCATGCGCAACCAACCTATTGTTAGGGCGAAATAGCTGGACCGAAACTGTGGATGCTGGTGCAGGAGTTGATGTGGATTACCTTGATTTCTCTAAGACATTCGACTGGTTGCACCGTTGTATCCTTCTCGCCAGACATGTACTATTGGGGACCATCTCCTCGAGTGGATCTGCAATTTTCTCTCGTACAGGCGTCAGGAGGTGAGTACGTGAATCCATGTTAGACCCAATTCACGTTGAATGCCGAGTGCCACAGGGTTCGGTATTAGGGTCCCGTCTATTCTTGATCTTCATAAACGATCTAGTGAGTCGAATTGCGTCAAACTATTTACGCCGATGACATCAAGTGATCAGAGCACCAGAAGACCGTCTCCAACTCCAAATCGACCTTGACAAGATTTATAGATGGTCGGTCCTGCTATAATTGAGGGAACGCCGCCTCTTGAGATAATTGCGTGACAAGATTGTCGCTCGCACGGTTGGAGCACGCCTACGATGACGACTTGTAACGCTGGCCACTCGAACGGAGTGGCGCTGACCTGATGACGCTAGCTTAGCCGGTGAGACGGAAAATTGAACGAGCGTGGGAACGATCTTAGCCGCACTTGTTCGAATAGACGCTGAGGCCTCGAAAACGGACGCACACGAGAGGGGGTACGATAGACGCGCGCTAATGACTTAGACGCGAAGGCTGGCCAGCTAACGATTCACACGCAATCACGCGACGCGACCGACTCCCAACTGAGGCGAAGTGAAAGAAAAGAAAGTGGTCCTCTGTAGGCTCTTTTACGACCGACAAAGGGCGATCACAGCCAGTGCTATGGGTTATTAAGTTAGGGAAAAAAGTCACCACGAAGAGGTGGTAGTTTGCCAATGACCATTGTCAGAAGGTTCGCAGTTGGGACGCGCCTCGGAGTGGCTGAGCTCTGCTGCGTTGTGGGGAGAATTTGGACCTCGGTTTCCACAGCCATTCTGCTGGGATTTCTGGCGTGTTTTTGCGGGAATATTTGACGTGCCCGCAACAGTCCAAAATCGCATTTTCTTCATTGTGGCTAAATGTCGAGTGCTCCATGTGAGACACCGAATGGTTCACACAAACAGGCTGGGGGATCAGGATCTGCAATATTGTTCTCTCAAGAAAGGATCTCGGTGTGTTGGTCCAGGAAGATCTCGGCTACTCGGAAAAGTCCAAAAAAGCATTGAAGAAGGGGATCCAAATCGTGGGGCTTTTACGAGCAGCTTTCAGGCAGTTGAAACTGTAGATTTTCCGCCAAATACTTCCCGTTAATATACGCCTTCATGTTGAATATGCAATCAAAGCATGACACCCATGGCTACAGCGGGATCTCACGGCCTTGGAGCTTACACAACGTCAGACGACCAAAAATGCCAAGGGGCTGCGCCCCTTTTCATACGAACAGCGCCTTAGAGTGCTTGTATTTTCAGTGGTTATCGCCGTTTGCGTGGTGACCTAGTCATGGCTTATCAAGTATTAAACAACACTCATCACCTCTACCATGACCTATGGATGCTGAGTCATAACAACCAACTGCGAGACCATCATTTCAAATTAGCAAAGCAATACAGTCGGTTGGAGTGTCGAAGAAACCTCGCTGCGTGTTTACCACACGTGAAATACCCTCACAGAAGCTGTTATTTTAGCCCCCAGGCTAGCCGTTTTAAAGCACGTGTGGACAGTGCACTCTCCATACCACACCATATCACGTAATCCAAACGACCCATAGAAACAGCGGAAAAACAAAACAAACCAACCCACTTCCATTTTTCATCCAGACATTTCCCTTCACGAATTTCAATTAAGCAAAAAGAAACATTTTAACATAATTTACTGAATTCAACAATTTCGCGTATTTTCCACAGCTGTTTACATACAACTAGTGGAATACACAGGTTACATAGCAGACAATCCAAGTGCGATGTTAACGACAAAATATTCAAAGCGGTCGAGGCCCTTAGGCTTATGTGACCCGTTCCTAGGAAAACACAATCACTAGCCTCACTAGGGAAGGCTTAACGTGGTCAGGAAATCGGTTTGCTGGCACAGATTCTATTTCAGCCGCCGAATTGCTGATGCCTCCGCAAACTAAAGTAAGCGGGGAGTAGCTTGTTTGCCAACTACCCTGAAATTGCCACTTGGGTTTTGACGTTCAGAGCAGTCGAGTATGTGGCGAGCAATAGCGCTATTCGGTAGCTTCGGGACATTAACGATCATGTTTCGCGGAACAGTCCCGGAAACCACCGACGATAATCTTGGCTAGTACATAAAACGGACAGGGACTCTGTAATCGGCAAGTTCGCAATTTGCGGTTGTTCACTATTTCCTATCGCTATTTTTGCCTTTGTTTTGCTCACCCTTAACCGATCGTCCGGCGGGACATGTCAAGCTTGGGCTTTTATTTATCCGCAATATACCATTGATCATTGTCAATTCATGCTATCAGTATCTTACGCGCGCACCTACGACTAAGTAGCTTCTAACGCGTGAACACCTAGAGTGGCTTGAAGCTCTAAGGAAAAACGAATATATTATACTATCAAGACCAGACAAGGGTGAGGATATCGTTCTCAGGGATAAATCTGATTATCTACGTAAACTGAATGTACTACCTGATGAGTCGTCAAATTTCTTAAAGACCGAAAAGTAAAAACACAAAACAGCAAGTGTTGAAAAATCCATGTCTAAGTCGCTTAAACATATGAAGCAGGAAAACCTCATTGACTCGTTAACTTTCGAAGGAATTCCTCCGGGCGGCTATACGGGTTACCGAAAATACATAAAGTTGGGGCACCTTTGCGACCAATTTTAGACATGAGCAACTCTCCTTACCATGCATTGGCAAAATGGCTGGCTGAGGTACTTGAACCGACGAGAGGAGAGTTAGCCACACGCAATTTGTGGGATTCGTTTGAATTTGTAGATATGAAACCCAAACAGCTATTCTCGCTTGCTGTCACTACTCTGTTTACAAATATTCCTGTCAAGGAGACAATTGATTACCTATGCGAATACATTGAGAGCAATGGCAAGCGCCTTAGCGTCCCAGTTGATGGCCTGAAGACGTTGGTTTACCAATGCACTCACAATGTACCGTTCCGTTTTGCTGGACGTACATACGGACAGAACGGCGGCTAAGCACTGGGTTCACCTCTAGGTCCCCTGTTCGCCGACGTTTTCATGGCTAAACTGGAAAATGGCCCTCTACATGGAATGATTGAACGACTGTCACTATAGAAGCGATATGCCGACGATATCATGTGCGTGGCGGACGAATCAGAAAGCCAGATTGAATTGCAAAGAAAATTCAGTCAGTCACATAGGAACATTAACTTCACCATGCAACCGATCAGATATATGCATAGCTTTCCTAGACATACAAATGTCTCGCTGACGAGACGGAACTTTACAATTTAAAATTCATAGAAAAACAACATGAACTGGTCAGTATTCCCACTTTGACACTTTTGTGCCACAACAACAAAAGCAAACCCTAATCCGGGACCTTACACAAAAAGCAATGAATGTTTGCTCGGAAGATACCATTGCACAGGAGCGTGTAAAAATAAAGTCATTTCTTTACAATGACTACCCCGAGTGATTTATTGACAGAAACATGCTGTCTGACTCTTGAGGTATTAGAATACCTACAGTAAAAAGGAAAAACTCTATCTATCTTTGCCTTTCACTGGCGATAATGCGGCCACGCTTATTGATAGAAGACGGAAGTGACCGATACGAATCGTCCGGTTATTAGCACAAAGACCTTCCGCCCAATCTATCGCATGAGGGGAGTCCGATCCAAACTGATCAACTGCCACATACTTGCAGTGGCAGAGGCGATCGCCATCCATTTTCACCACCCTCCTCTATGTGCGTGCAAAGAATTTTGTGAGAATCTTGGCTCTTCTCTGGCCAGCTGTAGCACACTCAATCGTGTAAACCAGTCTAAATATGGCTGTCACGTCTACTACCACAATCCTAATACGTGCTTTAATCTGTTCTATCATAGCTATTTCTAAGTGTTCTACTTAGCCTGATGATGAATCACCGAAAACGAGCTTGTTTGCTATGCTGATTTTTCATGGACGACACTTATCGGTCAGCTTATTTTCACCTTTCCCCGATGAACTTTACATTTGGATAATTACGAAACAGTGACTGGCTTTATTAGTGAATATCCCGTCGATGCCTCTACTGTATATCCTTGCTTGAATTTTTCCAACTTACGTCCGGACTCTCGACTCTACTAGGCACTCATCTTAACGCGCCCCGGTATCGATCGATCCGTAGCCTTTGAAACACTAGCGTACTGCATACAGTCAGGACTCGCGTGGTGCAGAAGTGGATGTTTCATCCAATCCTATCTTCCCACAATATTAGTACTTGTTTCACTTACCTCACCGTATTCGAGGTGTTACTCCATTGTGAGCCATCGACCATGTATTACGTTATTCAGACAACATCTGGAATGGCCGCAGTTACGCTACCTCCAACGGTGCTCTTTGGTGTTTTGGGGAATTTTATACTGTGCTGCGTTTTACTTATGCGAGTTCGCAGACCACGTCATTTGCAGTTGTGGGGAGTGGCACTTGTTGTGACGGACAGTTTGACCATTGTTTTGTACGGTTTAATAGACTTTATGCCTTCCCTTGGGGCTCACTGGTGGGGCAGGTGTCCACTGCAAATTCTCCATTACAGCTCCATACATTGCAAAGCAATCATGTTTGCCCGGTCGTTTGTCTCCGCTGTCAAAGTGAATATTCTCCTCTACTTGACGCTCATGGAACTGTCCAAGAGTGGTCGGACCAAGTGGGACACAATGAAGAAACAGATCGGTCCACTGGTAGCAAGCGCTATCGTCGTTTCCGTTTCCCAATCTATCCCGGTCCTCGTCATCAGCAGTTTGTTGCAAAGTGATGGTGTATTTGTGTGTGCATTTGATCCAAGTTGGCCGAAAGTGTTTCACAACTTTGTTATAATACACAAAGTTGCTTACAACGATGGTTTTGTGCAAAGTATCTGTCTTCTCGCACTTGCTGCGCTACTTCGCAAGCGATTGAAGCATGAAGAACGTACTGCTCAATACCTCCGTCGGTCACGCGTATCACGCGACGTCGTTGGTTTGGTGTTAAAGTCGATCAAACGTGAATTGGAAGAATCATGTCGAAATTTACGGATCGATCTAACCCTATTGTACACAACCGTAATTTGCCGCGCTGCACGCTGCTTTTTACGCATCTGTGACTACATGTTCGACATCGGTAGTACTGTAACGGATGCATTTGACGCCCGCACTAGGAAGCTGGCCTTCATAAGCGCTTGGGCACTCTTCGTTTTCGTAGAGATCATTTTACTCGGGATTAATTACCTGTGGTGGTATATCCATTTGCCCGAATTACAAACTTACTTGCGCACCACATGGCTAGACTTTACCTGTCGGAGCTCGGCCACTGTAAGCAGTTCCAAGGGAGGAACATTCTCCCTTAGGAATCTGAGACAGTTTAGACCACTTCCAGAGATCACCACAGACTGTCGAGTTATACTTGAACAAATGGATTCACTGAAGGAACATATTTTAAACTACTATGCCGCGGAATTAAACTTGTGTACTTCTGGAGCTGCGCGCCTAACTAGTAAAGATAAAATCCCATTTCAGTGGCTGGAGTCCATGTTGAAAAAGCGGAATCTTTTAAACTGTGCGGAAAATTTGACCCCTTCGGTCGACGCTCGTAAGCTCAAATTTACTATGTCAAACGATCTAATAGGATAATTGTTTGTTTGTTTGAATAAAACCTTCTAGGTGACTTTTATCTGGTTAGATGTCACTCGATAGCGTCTGGTCACGAATCATCCACTCTGCGACCCACCACGCTTTGTACTTTACTTCCTTGAGAACTTGTATTGTGTGCTCGAGATTGTTACCACGACAATGTACAGCGGTTCAGTGGAACAATGTTTTATGATAGTTAAAAATATACTGGCTTAACATGTCCCGTAAGTTGGTGATAGAGGAAATTGAACTCCGAATACTACATAAGTGGACCAGATAAAATATGCATTGCTGAAGCGATGGAGTAAAATGGCGGACAGAAGGAGGGTTGTGCGAGCGAGATAGCATCATGTAAGACGGAACAACAAGTTGTTATGGTTAATACTCATTTCAGATAACTTGCAGATTGCTCACCCTTCCGCACAGATCTACCTGCGTCACTGTGGGCCATAATTCCAAACAGGCTACTTAGCCTGAATATATCCATTAATGTTGCCATAACCATTGCGTCACTTAATCTCATCGATAGGTCAGTTGGCTTCGTTGGTACATCGCATTCAATTACGCTGTGTTAGTTGTATTGCTAGCTTCAGTGGTGTGCTGGCCTGATGAGAACCACCGAGAACAAGCTTGTTTGCCTAGCTGTCTTTTGCTTCTGATGTCTTCTCCGGGATTATATTCTCAAGAACGAATGACCATCTGGTAAGCAATTACTTTCAATGATTCATCATCAGATCATTGCAATCACCTGGGGGTTAACAATAAATATCCACCTAGTTAGCGCAAAAGGAATAGATCACGTGAGGACCAACGTCAGAGACGGGAAAACGAGCTATGTGTTAGTAGGTTAGTTGTTTTCTGCCGTTTTTAACTGAAGGTAGGCGAACTGCGCGTCTTCCGCTTTTGCTGGCCACACGATTTCTTCATGTTCTGGTCGTCGCAAAGGGTAATAAATGGCGCATTTAGCAGGGTGGATAGGGACAAGGATGTTATCAATCAAAACTTTCCGTCATCTTATTCCCTCTCTTGCGCCTTTTCACCTTTATCGTCCTACGCCAACTTCACTTTTATCCCCCTGTTTTTTGCCCTCAATACTTGGGCCTCCCCCATTTTGCTTCACTGGTCGCTTGTCTTCTACTCTCCACTCAAACGTAATCGCAGGGTGTCGTTCCAGTTCTGTTGACAAGTCCATGTTCAACCAAGCGGATAATGTCAGTTCATCCGTTTCTCTTTGGAGTCCCTGATCTTCACCTAGACTGATATGCTTCAACATGCTGATTTTGTTGCACATTGGCCAACAGGAAACACTTGCCCGAACACTAGAGACCATATCGATCGACACCTGCTGCTTATCTGAAACCCGCCTACAAGATGCAAGTCCCGTGATTACTGAGCGATCCCCATATTCGACACTTGCAGCGCGTTCTCATCGCGTTTATCTGGATAACGCGGCTTCAAACACTGCTCAACTCGGTGTGGGCATTGTTTTGATTCCCCGGGCTGATGCTGCCCTGGTTGATTGGATTCTAGTCAATAGCCGCATGTGCGCCGTCAGATTGCCTGGCTCGTTCAGCACTTCGAAGTCGCGCGTAGACCAACGGTGCTTATTTGTCATTGCGACCTACGCGCCCACAAATTTTAGCGCTGATACGGTGAAAGATAAATTATATCGCCAACTTAACCAGCTTCTTTGTCACAATAAAGTACGGATACTGTGATCCTAGCTGGCGATCTGAAGGCCCAGCTTGGTAAACTGTCCACTGATGAGCTTCATCTGAGTGGTCAGTACGGTGTAGCCTCCTGTAACGATAACAGTGAGCAGTTGCTGCAGCTGTGTGAAGATACTCGTCTGTTTCTCAAGCGCGCTAATTTCCGACACAGCACCCGCAAAATGGCGACATGGCGCCCACCCGCTTCAAACCATCCATGGACGCAAATCGACCACCTCGCGGTCAGTTACCGCTGGAGAACCTGTGTCCAAAACTGTCGCTCGATTTGGAGCATTAGCGTGGACTTTGACCACACACTCATTGGTGCCGATGTTACAGTTCGCTTCGGTAAGCGCATGCGGCATCGCTGTGGGCGCAAAGATACATGCCAGCTGGCGAAGCCAGATGTCCTGAACCCGTATCAAAGCACACTGGCATCCGGGCTGAGTAAACACTGTCGGAACAGACTAGAGGGCCATTGGTCGCATGTTCACCAGACGTTATTAGCAGCAGGCATGTCTTCATGTGGCGAATCAAGTTAGCAAGCTAAACATTGGGTCTTTATGCATTCTATGGAACTTTTGGTTGCTCGCCGACATTCCGGCTGGAAGCGAACACAAGGAGACCCGCAAAGACCTCAGGGTGAAACCGCGTGACAGCCTGAACTGAGACCGTGAAGCGTGTCGGTCTCATCATACATCGGAGATAGAAATGGCCGCTGCTCCTGGCAACAATCAGAATGTATTCCGTTTGATACGGGAAATGGGCAATGGAACAATGATTTTACACGGGTAACAATGCTGTAGCTTAACAGGTCTTGCAGGATGATCATAATGAAAATTCAAAGTAAAAGAAAAATGGTCGGCAAGTTTAGGTTCACACGAGTGGACTCCCCGCGGTATTCATAAGTATAAATCCACTGTAAGCCAAGTTATGTTCGATAACACACATGTGTATCCGTTTACACACACATACATATCCGTTTACACCGATTTCGGAAGGGCTGGAGAGCACAGTATTTGTCTGCGCCCTGTTGTCACTAAGTGAACAGAAATCAAAGCAAGTAATGCAGGTTTCAAATTCTTGAAAGATACTTGGAACCGATCGAGTAGTCATGAGTTCAGAGAGGTTTGGAAACCATCGGTTGGTATAGTAGTTTGGTACCGTTTCGCCTTTGACTCAAAGGCTTCGTCAGACTAGGTGAAGCATTGCAATTGGGGTGGGATTTTTAGAGCGAACAGGGACGATAAACGAGTTACCCGAGACTTGAGTCATGATGTCATTACATCAACTGTTCGTGGTGTCACCTCAGGTGGCTTAAACACAGTGGGAATAGTCCAGGTGTTCCTTTGTGCGTCATGACATTGACGGATAAGTCCATAGTGTTGACAGTGGGAGTCGGTTTGCACTTTCCATTCTGATACACGCATCGATGCTCGTCAAGCTGGCCGGCTTAAAACCGCCCGCCATGCATTAGGGAGTTCTACCCCCACAATTCTATTCACGCAGTCGTCAGACTTGGAAATTTCCACCGCCTCGGCAATCATCCGCTGAGATGTGGATCGTACGCCCCTCCTAATGACCCCTACTTTTTCGAGGTCTAACTGGTGACCCGTGTCTAATGTATGCACAGCTACGACCGAATCTCTTACTATTGCCTGGTATTCAAACTCGTTTCTTGGTAGTATTGAAATGCTCCTCCTATGCTCCGAAATTCGTGCGCGTAATTCTCTGGCTGGCCTTTATACACATGTGCACAATCTTTTCAAATTAATTTTATATACACAGTTAGTCGTCCTATTCTTGGGAAAGGGGTCCTTCAGGTGTTGTAATGCATTGTGGAGTTGCTTTTTAAAAGCTGGTAGCGTGGGCGCATAAATGACAGAACTCGAAAGGGCGTTTCATGGGTGACATCTCCAAAGAGAAAAATAGTTCCGGCGACATTCCAGCCAGCTGCATTGCGTAGGCAGTTTCAGCTGGTGACCCCTCGATTTTGTGTTTCGGCTTAGCTTCAGATGGCGGCAAGCGTGACCTGGGTTTTCCTAGATCGTACACCAAAATGAGGTCGCTCCGTAGACGGCGACAACTTCCGCTGTACACTCATTAAGTTTTTAGTCGCATTTGCTACGGCAGGTGGAGCATTCCTTTCGCATTCTTGGTTGCCCTTCGCTCTGCGGTATCCAGTGTAACCAAATCGCATTTTAACCAGGGTTGCCAGACCTGAATCGCCTACTTTACATATGGCCTCACATAGGCATTGAGCATTTGGGGAAGATTGGCGGGTGGAACCACCCGTACGCCCTCTGTAAGAGATCAACCTGCTGGTTAGCGCTTTTGGACGCCTTCGAAGACTGCGCCAAACAGCCGGGGTCGCCTTGCATCACCACCACAAGATCACTCTCCTATGAGGCGGTTTTCAGCATGTGGTCTCCAAGCTTATCTAGGTAAATGGGTTTGTGGCGTATATGTACAGTCTTGCACTTATCCGGGTTAAACGGAGATAGCTTTGGTTTTGACCATTCGAAGGCAACAGATGACCTGATGTTAGCGAGTCCATATACGATGAGAATGGACAATCGATTCACAGTTTGTCAAAACGCTTGGAGCGTTGGGCCGAACACTTTGAAAAGCAGCTTACTCATCCAGTTATCATCTTATCCTTTGGCCGTCGACCGTCCTTCTAACTGAGCCGTCCCCGTGGACCAGCCTCCACGCGCATAAGTCGAATGTCAGATCATATTTTGAAAGTAAATAACGCCTCAGTAGCGTATGGAATCCCTGTCACTCTTTTTAAATTCTGCGGATCTGCTCTTGTAGATGATCAGCACAACTTACCTGTGAAGTCGTAAGAGCAAGAAACTGTCCCAGTAGATTGGAACCGCTCGATAATAGTCCCGACTTTTAAGGAGGGCTCACAATCTGAATGCGGCAGTCATAGAGCGATTAGTCTGATCTCAATTGCTTCCAAGATAAACGCCTCTGTAGCTGGCGCATGTGAAATCCAGATTCGCGAGCAGCGAGCCAGATTTCGTCGAAGTCGCGGTTGTATTGATCACACCTTCACATTAGGTCAATTGTTAGAGCGTTGCCATGGTTATCGGCGAGCCACCGTAGTCGTGTTCCTCGACAGCAAAGGTGCGTTTGATTCTGTTGATTGATGTACTCTTTGGGACCCTTTTGGGCTGGATCCAATCACAGAGTAACTGCTTCCAAAATCTGGTCGGATATTCATTGCGCTCTACGCGCTTGGCTTCAGCAAGCTTAGTGGAGAACCTTGGGAACTGATTGAGC